AACATAAGCTGTTGTCAGCGAGCTAACGGCGAAAAGGATGCTTTGCGCATATTGTGCGATCCTAATCGATGGTGTGTCGTGCAGACCCTTACCAACTCTATGAAGCGAGGATTACGTAGAGGAAACTTTAACACAACTTTCCAATCCTTGGAGCCTCACAGCAGAGTTTTAGAAAGAGTAAGACACATCAACTCCTGATACCTGGCTGTAGCTATGGTTGGGAAAGTACCTACATATTCTTATCACAGACTCGTAGAGTTGCATTGTTATGTTGTTACACAATTCGCTTCCTGTTGCTCATTCTGGTTACTTTTCCTTGATTGTTTTACTTAAGCGACTGAGTTTTGAGTAGTAGAGGACTGAATTAACCATTGGACTAGGATTAACATACGTATAATATACAATTTCCTTTCAGTCGTATTTAATATTCAACATAAGCTTGTAATGATTCGCTTCCAAAAACCTCGATTTCGTTGGGTTTCAGTAGCGTTTCATTGATGTTCATTAGGTCAATAAAATATCTGTGCATATATTAATTTAGTATCCAATATCAACCATCTTTTAAACTATTATGTGGAACCTGTGAAGCATCTCCTTTATTTACAAACAGCTTAAGTGTCAGTCTTGTTCTATCAGATTCAAAATTTCATTACCTTCTTGAGTTACTAGCCAACTAGAGTAAGGTGCGTCTTAGTCATCGAATTTTCAAGAATGGAATCGAGCAAACTACTCCTGGGTCCGTTGTCCGGTATTTATATTGAACAGATGTAATTGAACAGATGGGAAATTATAGAATTAAATAGAGACACGAATAGAGACATACTTTGTTAACTAATTTTAATTAAAACCACAAAAATATATATTATTAATATTATAAAATTTCGTCTTTTTGAATTGATCTTGGTATAATTTCATAGCCTTTTGCAAGTCTGGCATATTCTTTTCTTGGTTTTCGAACTCAGGATTCGAGGTGACTTTTTTATCTGAATTGCTTATCTTCGCAATGCTCGGCCAAGTACTTTACTTCCACTATTTCAGAAGATATCACCACATTTTTTTTTAAGATATATATTTATTTACATATATATAAATAAAACAACTTTCATCTATACGGCTACGCTTTTCTGTTATTCAATCACCATCAGCATCATCAATGTTTTCTTCGCAATGATCGATTCAGAACTCTACTTCCACTATTTTAAAAGATATTTTAACATTTTTCTCTTTAGAATTATATATAAAGAATACAAGAATAATTCAAGATATAATTCAAAAGAAATAAAGCAACTTACATCTAGACACGCTTTTCTATTATTCAATCATCATCAACATCATCAATAGCTTCTTTGCAATGATCGGTCAAGAACTATACTTTTACTATTTAAGAAGATATTTTAATTTTAACATTTCTTTTTTTAGGATTATATATATAGAATACAAGAACATGTTAAAGAAATAAAACAAGTTTCATCTAGATAGCCACGCTTCTCTGCCATTCTATCATTAGCAATGTTTTTGGAAAGAACAGTAACAACCAAGAGGGGCAATTACTTTTATGTGTAGCCCTACGACAATCTTCAGTGCACATCTTCGTCAAATTTTCGTTTTCAGCTCAAAACATTTGCGGACAGTATAATCTCTTTTTACCAATGCTTTCCAGTTTGTTTAGCACCAATCACAAGTTCATTTAAAATTTTTAACGAAGACATAAATATATTATTAGAAAGTGTGTGTATTCCCCTTTTCCATTGGCTTTTCGAACTGGTGTTATTGTTCGCGCCGCCGCATCTGTTTGACTGTTACACTTGATAATTCTTAATAGGTTTATTTTTGTGTTATGGTTCGCACCACCCTGTATTTATCCGCTGGCATTATCTCGCTTTATCCCTACCAACAACGCTATTTATTTTTCGTGACACGACCAAATAAAAATATCCTGAATGAATTTCAAAATTAATATGTAGTATAAATGTAACAATTCGACTTTAACTTCAACTATTAAATTCAAAGAATTTAAAAAAGTTTAGGCTCCAATACAATCATTATACCAAGTTTCATCATCACAATATGATCAAATCCAAATTTAATGAAATTCTTTCACTCTTATTTATATATAAAATATGTAAGTAAGAAGTTTTGAAGTGTATATTAGAGAATAAATTTGTATTAAAACTCGAAATTTCCTCTAAAAACCCCAAAAACCCAAATAATATTGGAACAATAACAACGTTAATTCCCTACATTTACAGACGGAGCTTATTGCTCCACCGAGTTGAATATGAAACGATATGGAAACGGAATAAGCTTATAAGTAGTGGAATTGCTGTAGAGAACGCAACAAAAGTTACAGAAATCGACCACAAATTTGACATATAAACTAATTTTTTCAAGGTTTCTTAGCCACTTTAATCAAGGGCAACACCTGAATAAATTCAGATTTTGAATTGGTTCTTTATTAAAAAATTTTAAGCTTTTATACAAAAATCTTAGCATTAAGCTAATGCTTAAAAAGGAAATGTGTTTAATTCCCACGATTTGTTATCCAATTGATCTTGAGAATTCAATGTTAAAGGCACTAGTCAGAATTTTATGCATTACCTAAGCTTACACTATGTCTGCTTAATGCAGTTAGTTTGGCAATCTTGTATATGTGTTTTGTCATATACCAACTTGCCTTACAAATTTGATGAATCAAATGTATTATCACTTATGTCATGTGTCAACTAATGTTGCACCTGTGGGAACAATAGATTTATCTGGAATATATTATTTTCAGAGATCAATTAAATAATCATATATTTAAATAAATAGAAGCAGATCTAGTGAACATACACTTTAACAAAAAGTACCCGGATTTTGTAAATAAAACACACAAATTTAAATTTTATTCCAAATTTATTTTATCTCCTTCAAAATATGCTCCTTCTGAAGCGATACACATATGCCAATGCTTAATCCAATCTTCCATACACTTTTCGTAAGCCCATGCAGGTATGGCTTTTAGTTCCTTCAGCGAATTCTCTTTTACCGATTCAATCGACTCAAAACGCTTACCATGAAGGGGCAGGAAACAGTTTCGGGAACAGGAAAAAGTCGCACGGATCCAGATCTGGCGAATATGGTGCCTGAGCGATGACAGTGGTTCGTGTTTGGTCAAAAAATCGCGTACAACAACAGCCGTGTGCGATGGAGCATTGTCGTGGTAAAGAATCCAATTGTTGACTTTCCACAAATCTGATCTTTTCTTACGGATGGACTCACGCAAATGCCGCTTAACGCCGAGGTAATATACTTTATTGATGGTATAGCCCTCTGGCAAAAATTCATAATGAACAACACCGCGGTAGTCGAAAAAAACAGTGAGCATAAGTTTAATTTTCACGCGACTTTTGCGCGGTTTTTTGGGTTTTGGTTCATTTTCGAAGAGCCATTCGCTCGATTCTTGACTGGTTTCGACGTTATACTCATAAACCCATGTCTCATCACCTGTTATGATGTGTTTCATAAATGTAGAGTCGTGTCCATGCTTAAAAATCATTTCTTCACACACGTTCTTTCGGTAAAAAATTTTTGAAAAAGGTCTATTACTTAAGGATTAGTTGACATAATCCGGGTACTTTTTGAGCAGAAGGTACATATTTCACAAAATTATTTAAAAAAAAAAAATTATTTCTTAAAGCTCAAGAATAAAATTAATTTAAATAAAATTACTCATATAAATGCACTCAAAGCTAGTTAACTTGGCTTCTGTACTTTCTTTTAACATAACATAACATAACTTCCTTTTAAAGTGTGGTTTTCCAATTTATTCTCAACGGAACTTATTAAGTTAATATTGGTTCCCAACTGTCGAAAATCTTCATTGTTGTTGAAGTCTCATTAGGTTCCGTTACTGATCTTTTAATTTTCAATGTTTTTACTTCAGACATCCTTACCTATCCCTCCCCGCAACGTTAAGCCGATTTCTTTTGCCGATGATTGGTTGATCTACGGTAAGCCTACATGTCTGCGCGAGGTTAGTAATGATTTTAATTCTTACCTTAATTGCCATATTCTATAGAACTCAACCCTCAAAATTCTTGGCATATGTCTTTTTTGACAGATGTCACTACGGCTATAAATACTCTGACATAAGCCTTCGAATTTAACATAAGGCTCTGCTATCAGGCTTACTGATAAGCTCAAACACTTGAGAGTTTAATTTCGTTTTAAATTTTTAGTCGTTACTTTGAAAATGTTTTAAATGCGGTTTTTGTTTTTTGATATTTTAAACTTGGGAGTTGTTTCCACTCCTAAACATAATTTCTTCTCGCACCTTAATCACATTATCAAGAGTGACACCTACACAAGCTGAATGTGCAAATCAAATTGCTTTTTTACAAACAACTAATAATGGAAGCTTTCTACATACTCTTTTACTATTTGGTCCGGCATCTAATCCGCTCAAATAGAATGCCCGCGAGCGTTTGAATGGAGAGTGCTTAGGGATTGCAATAACTACAAGTCCACACCCGACGGCAGACACTTTCCCAACTTTGCTATCTACAAGTCTTTTAACATCGAGCATTTACATGATTTTTTATTTTGAGTTTTTAATGAGTTTTTAATTTTAATGAGTTTTTTTCAATTTTTTTTCGGAATTGTTCCAAAATTTGAATTCAGCAAAATACATAGGAAAACCGACTTCGGCTTTACTTATAGTAAATAATTTTTGAAACGGGCTATGGTTTCTAGTAATTACTCAATAACAGGAGGAATTCTATTTCAAAAGTGTTGACTACTTTAATATATTTTTAAATTTACGTATATCTAACGCAATAAAAAAGCTATCAATAACATAACAGTTTTATGAGTAATCTCTCATTTACGCTCTCCATTGCGCATTATATTTTTTTAATATTTACTATATATGTCAATACTCTTATAGTTAATATCAATCTGTATCAGTTCTAATCAAAGGTATGAACCGTTGGAACTAAAATCTATGGAGCAAAGAGCAATTAATGAGAGTTACACGCGGATGTTGTTGTTATTGCCTTGATCATGTACTCGTATAATGCATTAGTGCAAGCCGATCTGTAAAGAAATTTTAATAAACATTTAAAACTTAGTCTCAAGTGAATGGATCTAAAACAAACACTCATTATGTCTAATCTTTGAACAATTTTTTTATTAGAACATAAAAAATACCACGTGTTGAGTAGTTTCGGATTAAATTGGTGTCAATATATTATTTTTAAATTAATAAAAATTATTATATTTATAATATTTTACTTTGTGAAATTCTATAAAATTAGTTTTATAATTGAATTACATAAGTACGTTAGTATGTACATATGTATGTGCGCTGTATAATATGTATAACAAAATGTTAGTATTTTATTAAGTGAGATTAAAAATGTGTTCATATGCTAAGTATCCAGTTATCTCTTAATTACTACGAATTTTAATATGGTAAGTGTAAAATCATTCCTCTTTTGTTAAAAAGAAAAAGAAATAAGTAAATATATATAATTTTTAGCTCAACAAAGAAAATATTAATAATAATATTTAAATGCAAGAATTAAAGTCAGTTTTGTTGAATGCAAGATTCGTTTCTTTAAAATTATATGTTTTTTGCAACCCATTAAAAATTTAAGTAAGTTTATTTTATTCATTAGAAAAGCCATATTTATTATACAATTCTTAATTCTAGAGTGCACTCAACTTGGGATCTTCCTTCGTTCCTCCAAATTACTCTACTAAGTAAATATTCTGCTAAGTTCTCTAAGTTTATAATGAAACTCTTTTATTGAGGAAGTTAATTTAAGAATATATATATATATATAATATTCCACTCCATAGTATTATCGATATTTTGTCTACTTTCTTAAATGTGCTATTAAACTAAAGCTCAGTGACTTTAGTACAATAATTTAATTAATTAGATTATTGCAATAAATTAAATTCTAAGAATTTTTTTAATTCATTGGGAAGAAATTTTTTGTTCGATGGAAAGGTGTAGGTGAGTCCAAGATTTTCAAGCAATTTTCCACTTTCCAATTTTGTGAAGAAACTGCCGGTGAATAAGGTTTGATTGACATTACTTTATTGATTTGCAAATGCGGTGAATTTGTCAGAGCAATTAACTTAATGCCCGGATTGTTCCTCTTTTTTAGTGTACAAGCTATTTTATAATAATAAAACATGTCCACAACACTCGCTTTTTATATTTGGACGCTTTCAGTGATATAAATAGCGTTAATAATGCACGACATGAACAAAGTTTCTTATCGACACTTCTATTAGCAAATTCCGTATTTTACTTATAATCGTTTTTGAATATAACTTTACATTTCAATAGTACATTTCAATATTAAAAAAAATACAAAAAAATACATCTTGATATATTTTCAATTTATGTTATTATAAAGTAAAAAAAAGAAAACACAACAATTAATAGGTCTGTTCCAGGAGCTACTAGTAGTAACTTTGAGTAACACTGTGTATACACAAATGCGTTCCACCAGCAAATTTTCGCGTATTTTCGTGTAAACTTTACTTGTGTTTTACTGGAGTTTTAATACTAGTAGGTCATGGAACAGACCTAATATGTGCAATAAACACATCCGATCATATTCGATTTTATTTCCGTTCTAACTCCTATCCTTTTCTATTGCTTAACGTATGCCTTTTCGCTATTTTGTTACGGTAAAGCACGGTGCTGACCATCATTTTTGACTGACATTAAAGTTGCGCAGTCTCTTGCTCAAATTTTTTCAAGCGACCGAGCTTGAACATGTTCACATTCAAGAGTTGTCATTCAAGATAAATTTTAGAAGAATAAGGGTGTTTGCGAGCGCTGTAAGTGTATTAGTGAACCCACCCTAAAAATATGCTCTTGAATGACGAATCCAAGTTTTTAGGCGACAGACTAACATTCTATTATACTATCACTACCATAACTTTGGTTAACACGTTAACATGTTGGTTGCGTCTCATTCAAATGTGCAGACTATCGTTTTTAAATGTCATTCGTGAATTTTCTCTCTTGAATGACACTCAAAAATGATAGTCTGCACAGCACTTAAAGCTATTATTTTATGTGCTGCCACCTTGTCCAACACTTTTATTTTTATGCAGATCTTTGCTTTTGATTCGTATTGTTACGACACTATTTTGTTGCGGCAAATTCAGTCATGGACGAGCGGACGTGGAAATTGAGATGTTGACATATACATACCTGATAGGATATATGGCTTTATTTTCCTATTAACTTCGCTATGCTTGTGTTGCTCTGATGTGCTTACCTCCATATCACAGAACCAAGTTTTTTGGTCTGTGGTCTATTTTCGAACGCCCCGTCTATGGTAAGTGCGTTGTCTTTTATACGCATCAACCCAAACCGTAACGTGTTGATGTTATAAATATATATTTATAATATACATATATATTCTGACTTTCTGTGAATGTTTTATTTACATTTAGTTTACATATGTGTGTCGGTATAAATGTTTTAAATAAATAAAATTTATTTCAAATAAATAAAAACCTGAAATGAAGGTATGTTTAATTCTAGTTTGATATATTTCTTTAGTAATTCCGTGCTTTTAACTCAATTTTCAAATCTGGCAGGAGAATCATAAAACTAATATGTGTTAGAATAGATCTGCGCTGGACGAAAGTACTGGGGTGGTTATTTTGTCACTTTTCATTTTGGTGTTAGATTTTGATGTACCTCTGTTCGATCAGATAATTCATTAATATCAGAATACTCGTATTTATTGATTTGATTATAAAAGTTAATATATTGTATTTTGTGCAAATAAGTATTGTGTTGTTACTCCTTAAGTTGTTATTTTTATGTAGGGTGGAAATGTACACAAATTGTATGACACGTTGTACGATCTTATAAAAACAAAGTTAAGAAATTGTGAATCTGAATTGTGAATTAAAACCTAATTTACGAATAAACTCGAAAAAGGCTTAAAAGGACCAAAGTGTCGAAGAGCCGTTATAAAAAGGAATTTATTTGGAAACATCACATATTATTATAATTATTATCATTGTTAGGGGATGTGGCACTGCAATTGTCGGGTCTATTGTGTCCCCTTCTGAGTTTAGAGTAGGTCTGTAAGGTCTGTTGCGTCAATAAAAAGTAGTAAAGAACCTACTTTACAGAGTTTTATTGCAATTTCCGTAAGAGTATACATTCCCAGAAAAACATTAAATAATAAGTGTAGGATTTTTTCTCCATTTTTTTGGATGAAGTTATGAATTATCTATCAAAAGTTTTAATAACCATTATGTATATTTTATGTGTTTGCATTAAAAACGCAGAGTCGTAAAATGTGTGCTTGTAAATGCAGTAAAAACGTAGCTCCAACCATCAATCAACTTTAGAGAATTTTGCGTTAAATTTCCACTGCCTGAAAACTGTAGATCAACAAGATTTCGAAGAAAAGTTTTCGTAGCTGGAAACAAGAGAAAAAAGAACTAAAAATAAAAATGAAAAAAAAAAAAAAACAACCAAAATGAGGGCATAAAAAGAATTATAGTAAGTATGGCACTTCTCATTCATTTCGGTGCAGTTTCATGGTATCAAGTGAATTTAATTAGAAATTTCTTTCATGAATCCGAACGAAAAAAATGACATAAAAGTGGCAACAGTAGCAGAGGCTGCAGCACGAGCAGCGTCATGCGTTGAACTTTCGTACCTTTTGCCATTTCTCCGCAGCCGCAGCCGCAGCACTGCAAATGTACGTTGTGCGTTTGTGTGTTTGTGCATGGAGTTCTCTTACTATTTGCGCTTAGAGCGAACCGGCGTGTATCATTGCTTTCCTAAGTTGCACTTTGGTTTTTTATTTTCTTATAACGTACTTTCTTTTGTTGTTTTTGTTGTTGTGCTGGGGTCGTAAATGCAAGCTTAAACTAACAAAACTTTTGCCAGCAATTCAATTCTGCCAACAAAAATTGCTGTTTTTATCTGTACTGATTTTTTTCTCTATTTCTTCTTCTTCTTCTTATAAAATTCGCTTGCAATTTCATACTGCAATTCGCAAGTAATATGATAGCAGTGTGTATCACTACTCCGCGCTGGGCTGTGTTGCCACTACAGCAAGTAAAAAAGCAGCAAAGAATATTTTTAAAGCAGCAAAAGGAAAATGTTGAAAAATTTTACTTGAATTCGCCGCAACACAACTGCAGTGGAAGCAGCAGCTTTACCAGCAGCAACGATGACAAGGCAGTGCGGCGTATTTATGTAAGCAACTCATACCCTCATCTTCTTTCGTCATGGGAGTGACACGCGTTTCCTTGTCTCATGACTTGAACAAAAAAGAAGAAAAGAAGAGGAAAATCAAAATAAAAAAAGAAAACACAAAAAGCTGTAAAAGTAGCTACACAACAACAACAGTAGGAAATGTAAAGTTCAAGTAAATTCTTGCAGCGTACCCAATGGGATAAAAAAGTTGTGTAAAGTTGCATTTAAGTTTAGTTGCGTGCGTTTCCAAACCCCAGCTCCTCGCGCATGCTATAATTGAAACGTGCTTCTCTAACTTAAATAAAACAATTTTTTCTGTGTTTGCAGCTTAAAATAAATTTGTGTGCGTTTGTTAGCTGGCAAATCATTATTTAAGCTCATTTTTGGTCAAGTTTTACTCTTTTTTTTAGTTGCTGTTGTTGTTATTATTATTGCCTTTCGTGCTACGTTTGTTGTTTTTTTGCTTAAAATGTTATTGTTGTTGTTGTTTGTCATGTTAAAGTTGCAGCTTGCCATGTTGTTGTTTCTGCCGTCTCTGTCGGCTTTGCCGTTTCTGTTGTGGCATATTCACTCAAAAAAACTTTGATTAAAACGAAAGTTCAGAAAATTGATTGTCTAGCATTGTAGCAGTGCTCTTGACTTAAGGGCCCATTAGACAGCAACGTTCGTTGTCAACGCGCGCTTGCCATTACACAAACAATTTTTTAACAATTTTTAAAACACGCCCCAGATAAAACAACAGATATACTAAAAAATCGCTCTCACATGAGAATTTTTTTCTCCTACTTTTCTCCTACTTTGTGAAATGCGAAATTTGTTTGTGTAATAGTAACATTTGAAATTTTAAGAAATGTGTTGACGAAAATCTAAAAATTTTGATATTTCTTCAAACATGCTCGTGTTTTTGCATATACAGTCGGATTTGGTCGGCATGCAAAATTTTATTTATTTTGAGAAATGGAAGCGTAAACATCGTTTAAATGCACGCATGATTTGTCGTTAGCATGCGATGCTTTGCAAATATGAATGAATTTAATTTTAAATATTTGTATTTTCTACCTAGGTAAAATTTTTTAATTTTCAAAACATTTTATTAAGAGGAATTAAAATATTAATAACCTTGGGCTAAAAAAAAATAACCAAACATTAAATTACAATAAAAATTTTGTTTTGAATATTAATTGCATTGTACACCTACGGAAAATTTGTTATTAAAAAATACCAAAAAAAAAATTAAATTATATAAAATATAATA